GGACATCTGGATGTGATTTGAAATGGGAGCCATGACTGCCCTTTGGAATTAATCTGTTGTTGTTGCTGCTAAGGCCATGAGCAGGAAATAATCATGGACTTATTCTCCATCTGACATTACTTGGGATCAGTCAAGAATAAATTTTCTGCTTTCTAAAAAAACAAACAAACAAAAACCTCATAGACAGAGACAACAGTACGGTGATTACCAGAGGAAAGGGGGGTGGGGACAGGTAGAAGAGGGTAAAGCGGGGATAAATGGTAATGGATAGAGACTAGACTTTGGATGGTGAATACATAATATAATTTACAGATGATGTATCACAGAACTGTACACCTGAAACCTACATAATTTTATTAGCCAATGTCACCCCAATAAATTCAATAAAAAATAATATAGAAACAAAATTTTTTTAAAGTTCTTGAAAAGAAAAAAATTAATTTTTGCCTTTTCTGAACTTACTAGCAGTTAGAGAGGCAAATGTGTCATATTCCCAGGCTCATGAATGGCTGAAAACAAAGTCCATTTTAAATGACAGCCCTCAGGTTAAAAAGAACTGCTAAACTGATCCACTCAAGGAGACTTGAGAATTGCCAGGATGTGAAGCCAAGGTCCCTCTGTTACCCAGGTGGTGAAAACTCAGTTTCTAATTCCCTCCTGTGGTTGCACTTTTGTGAACAGATGATACATCAAGATGACTGTGCTTGCAGTAGTGGAAGAAAATATCGGAGGAAGCTTATCCATTAACTGGACAACTCGGACTGTCTGACGTGAATTATATTTCACTACAGTGCAATTCTTTCTGTAAAGTAAGGTAAATCTTGGGATTTGGAACCCAGAATGGGTAACAGGCTGTTTGCAAGTTTGAGAAGCTATGGAGGAAGCCTTTTGCACAGAGGAATGCAGACGTCGTGGATACATATTCTCCTGAGCACAGCCTTTGTTGCTCATTCTTCCGTTATACCCCCATCACATGCCTGCTCATCATATTTCTCATCAACAACCTCACCTCCTTCCAAAACCAGTGACATGGCCACACATCAGCAAGACTCGGCCCTCTGAAACCTCTACATCTACTCCAGAAGGTAGCACACCTGCCCAGTTCTTCCTGTTCTCATCGGTAGAACTTGAGAATCCCATTCTAAAACCACTGAGTCAGAAGCATCCAAAGGAATTGATGAATAGGCATACAACAGGCATGATGCTAATGAACAAGACACTACATATTGAAAAAATGCTTCAAACCCAAATCCAATTCCAGATCAAGTAAACTCGAAATCTATGGGTGTAGGGTGCAGATATTGGTATTTTAAAAAATCTTCCCAGGTGATTCTAAAGTCTCGACAGGACTCAGAACTAGGGCACTAGCACAATACAGGGCCATGAGGACTGCTGCCATATAGATAATACTATGCTGTGCCCAAGTTAACGACCTTTCAAGCAGATTGTTGAGGTAGAACTGAAATATACTTAAATTAGCATGAAACCTGGTATGGAGGTTTTAAAATCAGCCCCAAATTCTTCAACACTTCTCCCATTGAGAGGTAGGATGTATGTCCTCTCCTTGTTCTTCGTAAATATGGGTGGATCTTTGACTGCTTCATCCATAAAAATACAGCAGAACTGATGCTACCTTAGTTCTGAAGCTTCATCGCAAAAGGCAATGTAATTTCCCCTCAGGGGCTGGACACTCTTGGAGCCCTGAGCCACCATGCTGTAAGGAAGATCAGGCCACACGGAGAAACACATGCAGAAACTGATGCCCCACCCAAGTTCCCAGCCACCACCAGTGTCAGTTAAATAACTGAGACATTGACGGATTATTTACAAATCCCAGGACTTGAAAACGTCAATATAAATAAGAGTGCTGGAGTAATGTCTCTGAATTTGCCCATAAAACATTTATTTTCCAATTTTCCTCCCAATCTAAGATCAATCTTACTTTAAATAATCAATGGCATTATAAGGTGCCTGAGGCTACATGCTGAATTTTTCTTGTTTTGAACAGTGGCTACGTCTGAATTGAAATAGAAAAAAAAATACTCTGAAAATTCTAGGAAAAGATCTGTAACAAAACTGACCTCAAAGAAACAACCACTATTATTTTGAAATATCAGAAAAATGAATACACTTTTAATCATTTTAATATGTGTCTAGAAGGCTACATGGTGGTCCAAAAAAGGTATATCCACATCCTAATCCCTGGAACCTGTGAATGTCACCTTATTTGGAAAAAGGATCTTTGCAAATGTAATTAAGGAATATGAGATAAAATTATCCTGTATTATACAGGTAGAACCTAAATTCAAAAAATAGTGTCCTTATAAGAGACACAGAAGAGATTTAACAGACAGAAGGGGAGGAGGCAATGTGACCACTGATGCAGAGAGCTCAGAGATCTGCGTGAGGCAGCCATAAGTCAAGAATTCCTTACAGCCCTGGCTGATGTGCTCAGTGATTAGAGCATCAGCTGTGGACCAAAGGATGACTGGTTTGATGGGTTTGATTCCTGCACATACCTGGATTGCCGGTTCCATTCCCTAGCCTAGTCAGGTCACATGTAGAAGGCAATCAATGTGATGCGTGTCTCTCTCACATCGATGTTTCCCTCTCTCTCACTCCCTCCTCTCCTCCCTTTCACTCTCTCTGAAAATCAATGGGAAAAATATCCTTGAGTGAGGATTACAAAGAAATAATAATAATTTACTTACAGACCCTGGTCAGGTAGCTCAATTGGTTAGAGAATCATTGTCCCCATATACCAAGGTTGAGGGTTTGGTCCCTGGTCAGGGCACATACAAGAATCAACCAATGAATGCATAAATAAGTAGAACAACAAAATCAATGTCTCTCTCTCTCTCTCTCTCTCCCTCAGATCAATCAATAAAAAAAAAAAAATAAAGAATTGCTTACAGGTACCAGAAGCTGAAAGAGGTAAAGAACAGATTCTCCTCTAACACCCCAGGAGTGTGGGGCTTGGTTTTGGACTTCTGGCTCCAGAACTGTAAGAGAATAAATCTCTGTTGTTCTAAACCAACCAGTTTGTGGTAATTTGTTATAGCAGCCACAGTAAATTAATACGGGTTGGAAAAACAACAACACATTTCCTCATCTAAATTTTATTTCCATGTAAGTGCAAAATTTAATAACTTGCATTTTTATTCTTTACACTTCTCTTCTTATGCTTCTACCTACAAGACAGATTTCAGTTCAAAATATCACCTCTAATATAAAATGTCAAATTTTTGTTTTCTTTATGTTTAAGGTTTCCATACTTACTTGTCTTTTTAACACATGACTTCGCAGTGATTTTTAGCAATCTAAACAGAGTACAAAGTGAACTAGGCTGAGCATTCTGAATTCTACAGACAGTTCATTTAGAAATATATATATATATACTGGGAAGTTGAGGGATGGAAAGTGGAGTACCTGGTACAGAAAGGATAAAAAGGAGAAAGATATCCCTGCTATAAAGTATATGGTTTGTAAGGAAATGTCTGTAGACACGCCTTACTGAAGGCTGTCTCAAATCCCAACAGCGGGACACCCTACTGAATGACTTACTGACACTCTTCAAGATTCTCAAGGTCATCAAAAATGAGGAAAGTACCGTATGACAAATTGTCACAGCCAAGAGGAGCCTAAGGAGACAGGAAGGCTAAATGTGATGTGGTATATCTTGCGGGGGAGGGGAAGGGGGAAGGACGCTAGGTAACAATTAAATCTTAATAAGGTAATGACTTTAGTTAATAATAACATATCAATATCGGTTCGTTACTTTTAACTAAAGTACTCCACAACATAAAATGTTAATAAATTGGTGAAACTCTATCCTATCTTCTCAATTTTTCTGTACATCTAAACAATAACGTCTATTAGAAGGCACACGTGCACACACACAAGACTGTCTCGATCAATATTCATATTTTAAATAAGAAACTAAAGTTGAAGGGAGTGAGATATTTAATACAAATCGGTAATGTGGAGGAAGTGTTCTCGACTGTTTCCCAGAACACTAGTCCTTATTGCAAAGATTTATTTAATAAAGCCTTTTCCCCCTCTGATTATTGGCGACGTTCTGAAATGGGAACACCACCAAGAAACTTTTCCGGACTTGCAAGAAAAGAAAAGAAGAAAGGAAAAAGAAAAAAAAAAACACACAGGAAAAAACAGCTGGCTGGGCTTGCAGTCCGGTTTCCAAGGCTAACCGGCGTGCCATCTGCTCGCAGGGGCGCAGTAACCATGGCTCACACGTCAGTCACCAGCTTCGGGGTTAGCAAGTTTGCCCAACAAGCCCGGGCGGCTTCGCTCCGGCGCAGGTGCTGGGGGAGGGGGCGCCGCATCCAGCGTGCGTATCGCTTTCCCACCTCCATCTGCCTCCCCCTCCGCCCGCGGTGCCCGCGC